TGGTACCAGTGTGTTGCCACCGAAAGCTGACAGCTACCACCAGGTAATTCCTGCCCACTCCTACTGAGCCTGAATACTGAGAGGTATCTTGTTTACAGACCCTTCTTCAAGCTGTCTGAGGAAGGGCAGCAGGAAAGGTGTATTACCTAGGCCCAAAGTGCTACCAAAATCCCCAGCTCAGTAAGAAGCAGGAAAAAAGCCTCCAAGAAGCCAAACTGAAGAGAGGTTTTAGCAAAACCTAGTTGAGGTGCATTGGAGAAAAGGCATTTCCTCCCCCCCGAGCGATGTTCACCTTCCAGAGGAGAGCCTGGTCCTCTCCTCTGCACAGGTTGTTTTGCAGCTCTTGTGTACCGAGGATGCACAGAAGAGCACAGCAAGGTACTGTGTATGTCAGTACCAGCAGGCTCCATGTTCTCCAGCTCCAGGGTATCAGAGCAGGTAAACAACCTGCTCACAGGCTTGCTCATGGGCTCCCAGCATCAAGGTTGTCTCCATAGCCACCTGGAACAGCCCTTCACAAGGCTGGCCATTTCCAAGTGCAGGGATCCCTGATAGCACAGCAAATTTAGAGTACTAGATCAGCTGTTACAGTTAAAACTACCTCTGCTGAGTAAGGAAGGCCTTATCTCAACTCCAACTTCAGGTTGACAACCTCAAAGAGCCCAAGATGATCTAATTCACAGAGCCCATATTTTCAGATGCTGAGCAGCCACACAAGTCTGAATCCCAGAGCAGCAAGTCTCTGAAGGCTTTCAGCCCCCAGGTCACAGTGAAACCCCAGCACATGCTGTACCTCAGGAGTGCCACAAAAAGTAGAAGTTGTCTCTTCTTGCTCCATTCCTTCTTTGCAGAGTCCAAAGTCTGTCAATACTATGTGTCCCTAAAGAAGGGAGCGAAATTTCAGCTTAACCCACTCTTTCTAGAGAAGAAACAGGATTTCCAAGCATTGGCCTTCACATTGCATCTTATGTATGTTTTAGATCCCCACTGCTCATCTACTTCTGCTCCCTCACCTTCTGGACATCCTATAGTACAAGTACAGGAGCCTATAGAGAAAGCTGAGTCTAGATTTTTTTTAAGTTTGTCTACAGCTGCATAGCTATGAAGAGATCCAGCACTGCTGTGCTTTGGCACTGCTTTATTCCAGAATCGGCGTATATACCAGTCACCACTGGAGTAGCAGCAGTGATTTGCTCTTAGGACCCCTGATTCCTGCCCACAAGTCAGGTCCCAGTTTTTGGGGATGAGCTGAAAGGGCCCCCAAGGGCAGGCTCACTCCCTCTTGCAGGGTCTGCACAGAAATGCAGTGGTGCATATATACAAAATCCATGCAACGAAGTGAGCTATAGCCCAGCTTGCAGAACCATAGCCCTCTGTTTATGGTCCTGGTGCCTTTAAAGCCAGAAGGAAGGTAGCACAAGCTGTGGATATACCTGGCAATCCAGAAGAATGTTCTCAGGTTTTAAGTCCCTGCAAGACAACAACAAAAAAAAAAAAAAGGAAAGTGCTGTTTGAGCAGGTTTGGCCAGATATTTAGAAAAGCCAGACCTGAAACAGCATCAGCTAAGAACAGGAGCTAACAAAACTTCCCAATCCAGTTCACTAAGACCTTCCCAAAGTGCAGATTCCCATCACTGTCAAGTATCAACATACATGCAAACATAGAAGGATAGCTGTCATACAGGACCAGGTGTTAGCTTGCATTTCCCTGCATATCTATGCATAAAGTGTTACTGAGAGACAAGTTCTTACTTATTGAGCCAAATGTACTTTAGGTCTTTACACCTAACCACTCTCTCCCCTTCCCACTATCAGGCTGGGAGTATTTATCACCCATCAGATCCCGTGCAGACAGCACCCCTCTTGCAGGATGAAGTGCCAGCAGCACGCTGTCTTGTCTGGAGTAGGAGATTCTTCAGTTACTCCAATCCTGCACTTTTGCAGGGCTCCAATGAAGCCCTTTTCCTCCCCAGCACTGCACACAGCCTGGCTGCACAGACTTGGTGCCTGTGCTCTCCCCGACGGGACACGTGCCTTACCTGTAAATGATGTTTAAGGAGTGCAGGTACCCAATTGCACTCGCAACTTCTGCAGCATAGAACCGGGCCCGGGGCTCACGGAAACAGCGCTCCCTTTGCAAGTGGAAGAAGAGCTACAGACAAATGAAAGGGTTAATCTTTTCTTCTCTAAAAGAACTGAAGGATCTCTGGAGCAAGCCTGAAAGCCAGCTACTCAAGAGAAAACTGATTTGCAGCAAGTAGCACATGAACAGCACCAAATAAACCTGAACCAAGTGACTTTAAGCAATCTAAACACCTTTGTAGAAATTGGTTCATTTGTCCTCCTCTTATGTCACCATCTCACTAAGAATTCATTCTGCAAGAAATGGTCATCTCCCGATCTAGTTAAGCTTCCTAGCTTGCTACAATCCACAGGCTGATTGTAGTGGTAGTACAGCCATGAAGAGTGGTACATGCCCGGGGCTGAACCCATTAATATCTCCAATGTGAATTCTATTTGGGCAAGACATCCGTGTTAACAGTATCTCCCAGCCAGTTTCAGATCGCACAGAAAAAGATAGCTGAAAAAAGGCAAGCTTCTACAGGACAGAAAAAGAAATCTAGCAGACTGCAGTGGCTTTACCCAAGCACTAGACTAGGATCCAGGGCCAGCCCACAAGTGGGTTTTGCTTAAAGCTCACCAACATCAGTATTTCCTGTATTCCCCGTAGGATTTTAAAACACCCCTAACATATGCTTCGCTCAGCATCCTTGCCTTGGGAATCATCTGACTCAGGTCATAGCCAGCAAGATCTTTGGTCAATTTACAGGTGAGAGCCCATGCCAGCTACTCCTGGCTGGTCCTTGCCAGCAGTCAAAGCAACATTATACTTCAACATCAGTATCTTCTGACAGGCAACAGTTTTAGGCAATAAAGCAACATGTTTAGGAAGGACCAAATAGAGGATTAAAATAAAGCCTGTAAGTGCACTCACCTCTCCTCCATTTACATAGTCAAGCACAAAGTAAAGCTTCTCCGAGGTCTGGAAGGAGTAATGGAGTCCCACAAGGAAGGGATGCTTGACATTTTTCAGGAGCACGTTGCGTTCTGCCATGATGTGGTTTTGCTATCAAAAAGCAGGCAAGGCATTAGTGTCAGGCAAGGGTCCCACCCCATCTGCCATAGGGGCTCACTGCTGTGTTCAAACCAGGTGGAAACTGAGAGCCCAAGAGGGTCATCTCCAGCCCCAGGAAGGGAGCCACTCTCTATCTGGCCCAGTTCATCTCAGTTCTTCTCCATGTTCCCATAGCACAGAGAAATCCATGTTTAACATGTGAGTTGTCTACAAGAATGCCAGCCACAAAATAACCTCAACTGCATCACCAGGATAGCTCATACTCTCTTTGCAGAGGGAGCCAAGGAGAGCAGACATACCTCCTTTTTCTTTAGGATGGTTTTCTTATGCAAAACTTTCACTGCATAAAAAGTCCCATCACACTTGCGTTTGGCCAGGAGAACCTGCAACAGAAGGTCCTGGTCACGGGTTTCAGTCTCACTTTCTGCCATTTGGTTAGTGTTTCCTCATTAGCTCACCACTCTTGTGAGTGATTATACGCAGGGTACAGCTTCAGAAGGTCAGGTACAAAGTTTTAAAGACCAAGCTCCAGCCCTGTCACTTCCCAGCACTTTCTTATTGCTGGAAAAAAGCACATGACCTCTCCACATACATCTTTTACACACCCAATAGAAAATAGTTTTGGAGCATTTGGGGATGGTCCCATTTAAAGTGGATCCTTGCTGTCACAAAGTACAGATTTGTCTGGAGATCTTTTGCTAGCTGAAGAAGTCTGAAGCTTATTTTGAATCAAGTACCGCTCCTCACCATCATCACCCTGAGCATGAAACACCTCACACTTCTGTCCTTAGAGAGGTTGCAGGACAACTCAAAGTAAGAATGGACTATGAAAACCCTATCTCAGGTCTCATCTGAGCTCAGTCCCACTCAGGCCAAACTCCTCAGGAGAGGTACAACCAAAGGACACAGCTGGAAACTCCTTTGGCAAGAAAGTAACTTTCCAAGCTGCCTCTAAAGAGCTACAGCCCACCTGTACAAACCCACTTACTTTTCCGAAGCTCCCTTTGCCAATAACCTTCAGGAAGTCAAAGTCTGTTGGTTTGGCACTGTTGGGCAAGAATGAAACAAGTTAATGTTTCTGGGAGAGAAACATGCAACGGTGACACTAACATCAAAGCAGAGTTCCTTCTTGGAAACACGAGTGTTTGTGAAAGGGATTAAAGGGCACTGGACAGGTGACCCTCGCTCCCAGTCAGTGGTGGGTTCGCACTGTGGATGTCAATGCACCCAGCAGTGGATGAGCAATCCCTCAACATCCCATCTGCTGAACATAGCTGCAGGTGAAAGCACCTGTTGGGACCAAATGGCACCTTTAGAGGGGACACAGTTTATCACCGTTCCTAAAGAAATATAGTCAGGGAGCCAGCAGTGCTGAGGAAGATCTTCTCTTACTACCTCTCAAGAGAGATGGGACAAAAGGCTGCAGACATGGACAGAAGAGGATGACTATGATAACAGGGACCAGCTGTAGCTGAATATCTTGAAAGCTGGTGCATTGGTGACACACATGGTATTAAAAGGCCAAGTAATCTAAGTGTTAGGACTTTTGCAGACACCACCCACACGAGACACAGGGACCAACTGCATTCCCCTGCCAGATCTCTTCACTACACGCTCCACACCCTACCTGGCTTTTGCAGGGAGCTTACTTTGGGTTAGCAGAAGGTCCAAGGTTGATGTTGTCAGTTGGTGTTGGAGGCTAGAGAGGATAACAGTAATATTAGTCACAAGGACCATGCTGCAGGTAGAGCTTTGCTTTCCTTTCCTCAATAGAGGATCACTTGCACAGAGCCATTGGTAAACACCCATCAGCCAGAGATACAGTGAATGCTTTGGCAAACTTCTAAGTGATGGGGAAAGGGAGAATGCAGCTGTGCACTAAAGCAATATCATCCCCAAGCTGGAGGCTATACTAAGCTAGAGTCTGTGCTGAAGTCCTCATCCCATACTTGCACAAAGAAAAAGTATTAAGTGACTGTTTGGCTCCTGACTTGCAGCTTTCAAGACCTGCTGTCCTGCCACAGAGGAAAGGCACCGCGTGGCTCAGTTATTCACCACAGCACGGAGATGACAAGGCATTCCCAGCTGCCTGTGCTAGGCAAGAAGCCCTGCGCACAGCTCTGAGACAGAGGAGCGCTCCTGCAACAGGACATCAGCATCCCCCTGCCCACTCCCATTAAGCCCCAAAACTGCCAAGTCTGGACCCTTGGAACAGCCTTATGCACACCCAGCACCACAGAAGTGCAGCCTCCCTCTTCCCAATGAGAAAGGGGTACATACACACACAGTCTTCCTCCTTTTACCACTCCCCAGGAATCTTCCCCTCCCCAGACTCTGGGAGCATTATGCCTTGTCCAAAAAGGCTACAAGGGCCTCTCTGCTTTCCTTTTTCTCCTCCCAGCATCACCCCCAGGGACAAGGCAGCAATAAGACTCCTAGCAGGCTAACACAGGCTCTCCTTGCTTTTCTCCTACAGGCACCAGTCCTTCTTTTCAGCCCAAAGGTGAAGACTTGCTGGCTCAGAGCCATCATCTCACCTGGGTGCTTTTGTCTGGGCTCCGGGAACGATCCATTAAAAAAGCAACTCGTTCAGCACTTGAGAAAAGAAGAGCAAGCCAGTATTGAAAACAAAATCAAAGAGAGAAACAGCTTCATACCATTAACTTGCCAGGAACCAGTGCAGACCCAAGTGCATGCTCCCCTCCATCACAGGGGACATCAGCGAGTTCCCCAGCTACCCTCTCAGTAACACCCAAGGGGTGGGGGTACACGTGCTCTGGGGGAGGCAGGGAACAGTGGGTGCATGCTGACAGGAGATGGGGGGAAAGGTTCCTGAGCACACAAGCGATTTGAACAAGCACAAACATATTAAATGCCACTGTTAGCCCTTGATGTGCAAGAGCAGAATCTGGTCAGAGCACCAACACATGAAAACCATCACAGCCCCAGAAGCAACACAGCATCAGGGTCAGACAAGGTTGCAGACCTCCCAGCCATGGCCAGACCCCTTTGAGGCAGATGCAGCCCCCACCCCACTGCATAGGGATGCAGCAGCACCCAGCCCTGCAACCCAGTGAGCATCCCCACGGGGCAGCCAGGACAGTCCAACTGGGTCAGACCACCACATGCCATCCAGGCTGGCAGCAGCTAGAGGCCATTCCCCCAGGCCAGGGCAGAGCCAGGCAGTTTGGGGTTGTTGACATTGCAGGGAAGAGGGACTGGCCATGGCAGCCAGGGCGGGCTCTGTGAGCAGAGGCGTTAAAACACAGGGCTCTCTGGCTCCAGCTGCTGGGACTGGAGAAGTTGAACTTGAACAACACTTGTTGGTTCAGATCTGCCGTGTTTGATCATCACTGGGAAGGGATGGGTCCTGCCACCCCAGAGATTCCTCACTTTGGTTTTAACAGTTCCCTCATGCTCCTTGCAAAAGCCAGGATTAAAGAAATAACAGAAGAAAAAAAAAAGAAAAAAGTAGCTCTGTTCCCTTCTCCCCCACCCCAGAGTGCTTTGTCCATTCCCTCAGCCCCACCAAGCCCTCATACACCGCAGGGAGGCTCTGAAAGCTCTCATCCCCCAGCCACCCTCTACCCTGCCCCTTCCAAAAAGGGGCCCCAAAGATCCCACCAGCCTCCCCCACGTCTCACCTGTGGGCGCTCCCTCTCTCTGGCCCCACACACCGCCAGGCACAGACCCACGGCCATCCCAGAGCCCCCCTCCTCCGCAGCCAGGC